TGTCTGTGTCGCCCCACTCTGAACTGTTCTTTACGCTTGACTCACGGGTAGGTTGCAGCAGAAAACTGGCTGCGGACGCTTGACCTCCGCCACAAAAGTGTGGAGTGGATCATGCCCCCGGCCCCCCTGTTGCCGCCAGATGAGTCCGAGTGGGCGCAAGTGGGCGCCTTTCCCACGGCCTCTCGCGGGTTTCCTACTTTGGACGAGGTCACCCGGGACCCGATGGAAGGCGAATTACGTCGCTTGCCATGGCAGGCTCCCGTGTGGGATGCCAAGGGTTTCGTCCCAGGATTCGTGCGAGCCCATGCTGGGTTCTGGGAGGAGTGCATTCTCCGTGATCATCCCCTTACGAGATACGTTGACTTCGTACATCCGGGATGGCGTTGACCTTTATGACCTTCTGCTTCCCAAATTCCGAGGCGAGTCGCCGTCTCTCCCCTACAATGTTGAGCATTTCCCGCAGCGCATTTTCTCCAACCACCGTTGGCCGCTGGAATTTGGACAACTTCGTCGACGCGGAAATGCAATCCTTGCTCGACCGAGGTTGCATTTCCCGGTGGGCTGACGTCAAGAGCTCCACCGGTCCGGTGCGTCCTCGCATGATCATGGCTTTGTCGGTGGAGACGTCCAAACCGCGTCTTATTTATGACGCTCGACCGCTTAACAGCTGCACACGAAAAATACCTTTCGCCATGGACACGGTAGCGCGCGTGGCTAGCATTGCGTCGTCGGGATGCTACATGACGTCACTCGACGACTCCTCAGCGTTTCATCATGTTCTTCTGCGGCCATCGTCATGGCCTCTCTTCGGCTTATCCTACAAGGGCGTCGACTACTGCTGGTGCGTCCTCCCGTTCGGATTTAACCTCAGCCCGTACGTCTACCATACTCTCAGCGAAGCGAAGGCGGCCTTTCAGCGTTCCAAAGGCGCCCCTTCTCTCGCATACCTCGATGATTCTTGGCGGAGCAACTTTCTGGCCACATATGGTCGGCCGGCGCGGGATCAGTGGTTGGCAGCCGGGGAAGCGACTCACGTCGCCATGCTGACTTCGCTCTTCTGCGGACAGTTCCTGTCACTCAAGAAGTGCGAGCTTCGACCCGTCAAAGCTCTACAATACCTCGGCATCATCTGCGATTCGGAGACGATGACATTCCGGATCCCGCAAGAGAAGCTGGACAAGCTGCATGGCTTACTGCAGACAGCTCTGGCCGATGGGGGGGTGTCCTACCGAACGCTGCAGCGCGTTGCGGGTCCCCACCCTGCCTCCGGGCGGCTGTGTCCAGTTTGTCGCGTGTTCGTCGTGCCAGACGGAAAACGTGGGACATTACAACTATTGTTGGTCCTGCGGTGTTCAGCCTGCCCGCGGGCGTCCGGTACCGCGTGACCCCCAAGCGGCTCGGGTGTTGATCGATTTCGACGCGCTGCGCGCTCGGGGTGATCAGGTCCTCTCGGCCGCGTCTAACCGTCGTGCTCAACAGCGTAAGTGCGCCGTAGCGGACGGGTTCGACGCTTTCATACTTTCGGCGACTCAACAACGTCGGGGTTGGAAGCAGGCGTCGGACCGAGACGTGTTTGACTATCTCTGCTTCTTGGACACACAAGGTAGTGGTACCAAGTGGGTGCACGACAGGGCATGCCCTGGTGTCGGTACGACTCACGGCCGCGATTGCCTTCCAAACTCGCCATGTGCTAAGCGGTATGCTGCCGCGTCCATGCAGAAAGGGATCGTGTCCAAGCTGAAGATGGCGATGCAAGAACAGTTGGGAAAAGACAGCAGCTGGGACCCTGCCACGCGCTCGGGCAACCCCTGTTGTAGTCCTCTCGTCGACTCCTACCTCGTCTTCACGGGGGAGGAACAAAAACGTGTGGGTGTCGCTGTCAACCAGGCAGAGGCTATGTTACCGCACGTCCTCATCGATCTGTTGAGGGACATGCGCTCTCGCGCGCAGACTGCGTCCTCTTTGGCGGAACGTATTGAGCTCACCAGGGACGTCGCTTTGTTTTCGCTGGCGTTCGCCTCCATGCGGCGAGGCCATGATCTCTCCTTCACTATGGGATCGCAAGTTCTGCGGTTGCCCGCGGGGCAGGGTCTGATTTTCAACTTCCAATTCGGCAAGACCCTCCGCGACTCCGTTGATGCCGTGGTCGTGCGTCCGGACGTCGCTTGCCCGTCTATTTGTGCTGTAAGCAATGTTACGGCCTACATCAGTGCGGCGGAGGGTATTGGCTGGGATTTGTCCCAAGGACATCTGTTTCCTATCGTTCTGCTGGATGGAACTCGGGGCTGTGCTCCGCTTACGGCGGTTCAGATGACGGCTGCCCTACAAGGGCATCTGCGAGCGGCGGGACTGCCGCACCGCTACACTATGCATTCGTTCCGCGTTGGAGGTTCGGTAGCGCAGTCGCTTGACGGAACGGCGATGGACGCTATCATGAAAATTGCCGGGTGGCGTACGGAGAGTGTAGCGAAGCGATATGTTGGCGTCACTACTAGTGTGGGGGCAACGGGTTCCAAGAGGATCCGGAGCGAGCTGTACGCAGACTCAAACGCGTTGCCGTTGTCGGCTGACTTCACATGCGATTTCTCTGCGTGTGCTCGCCGCGAAAAATAAGAAAGTTTGGGTGGGCGAGACCTAGCTTAGAGGCGTGAGTGGTCAATAAATAAGATGTGACAGATCGGATAATTAACAAGAAAGTAATGGGCGGGACCACAGACCGGCGCAGGAGGCCTCACCCAACCAAATCCAATACTTACATTGAATGATCTGGGTAAGGGATAAGAATACAACAGTAATCTCGGATTTGAGACGCATCTAGATTTCGGAACGAAATCGAGAAGAGTCAGATATTCCAGAAAGGATGTTGGAAAATGACCCCACCTAGTTCAGTCCCCCTTTTCTCTCCCGAAATACGCCGGAGCAGAGAAGAAGGGGTATATTTGAGACCATCCCACCCGCCCTACACAATGCTTACTATATTCATGAACTTGCTGATCATTCAAACACTTTGGGCCTGGGTACACCCAGCCCAAAGGGTTACTTGTGGCGAGGCCCTCCTGCAGGCGCAGGAGGCCTCACCCAACCAAATCCAATACTTACATTGAATGATCTGGGTAAGGGATAAGAATACAACAGTAACCAGCATCGGTTACACCACCCACCAGACGGTCGAGAAGCGAGGGGCAGTTAGTTGTACCCGACGGAGATTTCTCCGAAAGAAGTGGGTACGATGGTGTTTCGTCCAATCAGCTGGCTGCCTGGGGGGGGCATGCGTTGGCGCAAGGATTTTATTACCATTTATTTGGGTACAAAATCGAGCCTTTCCGGGTACACCACCAGTATAACCAGCATCGGTTACACCCGAGGGTCGAGATGCCAGCGGCAGTCACTTGTACCCGATGGAGTTTTCTCCAAAAAAAGTGAGTACGATGGTGTTTCGGCCAATCATCTGGCTGCCTGGGGGTGCATGCGTGTTGATTTCTAACTGTACCCTAAATGGTGATAGACCATCCGGGTTACCCGTTTGCTGGTTACGGTCTTCGAACACCAACGTACCCCACCCGCCCCAAATAAGAAGAGATACATACGCGTACCACATTCAAAAATACGTTTGAAAACTGAGGGAGACTGCATGCCCTACGACTAAAAGGGTGCCACACACAAAACGCCAGTACCTAATAATACATTTCTTCTGCACCTTCCCAACATAACATATATGAGAGCTACCAAACTGTCTTGTTGAGCCCGTTACCCGCAGGGCCGCAGGGGAGATGTCCCTATATGCTGTCTGGGAAACCGAAGACATACAGGTGCTTTCTGACGCTATGAATTCATTGCTAATCTGTCTTGGACTCTTTTCTATGATAGAGATGGATTCGTTGTGTCATATTAAGGAAAGAAAAAAAAAAAACTGATTTTTTCGACATTTTTGTTGTCTTGATTCATTAGTAGGTCTCTTCAGAAACAATCGTGGAAATACAGGCAGCCTCCGCTGGCGCTACATATGGATTCCTTGCGAATATATCTCTGAATCGTTCTGATAGCCAGAGAAAATGGGGCGTTGTGTCACATTCATTCAACGAAAAATCTAGATGAGCACACACCATTCGGAGCATCGAGGCCTTGGAATACCCCCATTCAACACACCAAGACTCTTCGAACAAAAATGTAGCTACCTTTTGTCTGAACGTCGCCAACGATGCTGCAGCTCAAAAACCAACAATCAATCTAAAACGACTCTCAGCTTCAAGGCAACCACCTTGGATTGCAATCGACGTCAGTCAGTCAGTCAGTCAGTCAGTCGACGATGCTCGTTTCGCCCGAAAGAAGACGTTGCCCCCCCCTCCTCCTTCCGATCCCCTACACCCAGAAAATATTGAACGAACAACAAATCTTCCGTATGTGATATGCATACCGAACTTATGAAACCTTGAGAAACATGGAAACCACAAGCATTCCTAACAAAGCTGTAGACTGCTGATCGCCCTCCTACAAATCCAAAAGACACAGGAACGGCGGCAGCGGGCATCAGAAAATAATGAAACTTTCACCGATTTACCAACTGCCCCGCGCGAAAAAAGAGAAACAACCTACATGGGGCAGCACATGACTACGCCGAACTTATTGACAGCTTCACTTCAGCTGGTGCAGAAATCGAGCTTGAAGCCTTCAGCGCATCTCAGTCAACAAGAATACAACATTGACCACGGCAACCGCCAACGCGCCGACGCTCCCGCACGCACGAATCCTGCCGCCGTTGCCTTCGGTGGTCGTAGGCGGCGTGATCGGATCGTCATCGGTGGACGGGCTAGGGACAGGCGAAATATTCGAGTCGTCGTCCGTCGGGTAATCATCGCTAGATTCGTCGTCGTCCGTCGGGTAATCATCGCTAGATTCGTCGTCGTCCGTCGAGGAATCATCGCTAGATTCACTCGTGTCGTCGTCGTCAGACGAAGTCACGTCGCTGGGGCACTCTGGTGGTACCACGTAGTAGAGGCAGCCCGATATATACTCTTCTGTGATTGAGCTCAGAGGATCGCCGCAGATGCCTTCGTAGAATTGGATCACTTCGTCCACAGAGAGGTCCCCGCACGGATGACAAATGCCAAAGCCACCGGAACCGGTGTCTGACTCCCCGTAGTCCTCCATGCAAGCAATGAGTACTGCAGGGGACGAGTTGTGGAACGATACGTGGACAGCACGGAACAACGGGTTGGTACGAGGAGTGGTGTTTCGCTGGCGACACAATTTGGCATCCTCGTTCGCCCTTCGTTGGAGACATGTTGGTGACCGACCTTCGTTGCACGTCGTGCAGCTCATCTCCGCGTCATCATCCTCCAAGAATATCTCAGTACCACAGTCTCCGCAGCTGTCTTGAAGCTCCCGGTGCTGTACGCTTGGCGCCGCCTTGCCTCCAAAAGGCGAAAGGTGCTTGGTCGCACGGCAGCTGTCACCGGTCAACAGCATCATCATCGAGGCCACATACCAAACACGAGCTAAACCGTCCTTCCCCATGCTGAGAAACCCGCCGTTGCGCGCACTGGCGGGGCATCGTGCATTGGGAACATCCAGCAGGAGAGGAAGCATGGGAAAATGGTCAAGGGGGAACAGGAATACAAGGGTCATGTACTGCTGTACAGAAGTCTACACCCACCCACAAGTAAGCGCAATCCTTACCACGTTCTTTAGAGGGGAACAAGGTTCGGGATGGACCCGCGGTCCCCACGCCCTAGGGGCGAGAGCGTGGTGGGCACTGCGCTCGTCCACGACGGTTCACCTATCGCCTGCAGCGAGCGTGTCTGCCTCAACCTCATCACACTGGTGCGGTGGAACGCGTTGACCATCTCCGAGAGAATAAGGGGTAAAGGCCACATGTAGCAATAATTCATGTCGACACGACAAACGCCGAAGGAGGAAGAGACGGAGGGCCATTTGCGACGAAGGAAGAATGAATATATCCAAGGGATTTCTCCGTCAGGTCCTGATCAGTCACTGATCGTGTATGTAGATGTAGGGTGCTTCAATAACGTTCTTCAGGACATGTTGCAGATTCTTGCTTCGAGAACTTGTTGAGCATGCAAACGATGCGAAGAAGTCACAGCTGCATTGGTATACGCACGGGTTGAAAAAAAATGGGTGAAGAATAATGGTACGATACATTTGACCAGTTGGGGATGAATATGACGCCGCAAGCGACCACACGCACGGAATAGTGCCGGTCAAATCGCCTGGACACATGTCCCGGCATTATATCGGGACACGTACTGTATACATTTTAATCGGAAGTAGTGGTGAGTGATTGTTCTGTCAGCGCAGCCATGATCTCCTGGAGATGGGGAAAAAAACAATGGAAATACATGAGCTCGGTCTCCTGAGAGCCCCTAGATAATGTTCCTGTCAAATGTACAACGCTCCCGAATTTTCCAATGTTGTGTACTGTAGTTGTGTGAGAGGAGCTCCACGGTACCGACAGCGCGATGAGGGTAGGTGGGGACTGCGTCTGATCTGCAATCGTCACGCACGACACGCTGCTACCGCTCAATGAGCTACTTCAAGCACGCGGCGGGGTAGAGAAGCGATGAGTGTATGGCGCTGAATTCGGAGGCGAAGATCAGGGCTCCTTTCTGCTTGCCCTTTCCTGAGAGGGAATCGAAACCCAGCTATAGTCTACCGTATAAGGTTTCCGAATAGACCCGGCCGGTAAATAAACGCGGTTTGGCAAAACTGTGGTCTATCACGAACGGGTGTAGCTCTCTGTGTATGCGTGGTTTTGACCAGGGAGCCATATGGCTTACGTACACTATGACCTTGCCATATGGCTTTGCGATTAAACGCACACTTACTGCTTGCTGTAGACTATTCCGAGAGGCTTGGCGGCCAAATGCGACGACAGCAAACACCACACTACAGTTAGCGCCCGCGATTAAGAAGCGCTTATTTCAGGTCCAGCCTCGAATTCATATTGTGGGCTATAAACTCAGCGTAGTCGTTCAGTTTCTTATATCATGTTTATTATTTTTTCGTGCAGCCTTATCCTGCTGAATTTCTTAAATCGGCAGTTTCTTATTTCTCTGCTTTCCTCGCCTCCCGTACTCAACCCCGATTCTCACTACCGACGGCTGCACGTAATGTTCGTGAGGTTGATTATTTCATCATTACGCATACGCTACTGCTGTAGTTACTCATGTATGATGGTTTCTACCATGGAGCTAAAGTGGCAGCAAGGGGCATAGATCTTCGGGGTATCTTAAGACATGTCTAGAATTCTGTATCTTTGACCTGTTCCATAGTGTTCCGAGTTCTGCGTTTTCTTGCTACTGGTGTGCGGCACGGGAGTTCGCCTCCCGTTGCCACTCTCTCTCTCCTGTTTCCCTTACGACAAGGGCAACCTAATCAACCACTTTACCATCTTAACATCTCTTCACGCCTACCAACGGCGCAGCCCTGCTCATCCCAGCAGCACTAGGCTTGGGGCAATCAAACACGTAAGGCCACTCCCTACAAGCGAAATGTATTCAACGGCAACGCCTTGCTATCGCTACAAGGTCTTGTACCCCCCTCATGAGTGAGGGCTGAAACAAAACAAATGCATAAACACCGCATGATGCCTCACCCGCACGCTGACATGGCAACAACGAAAATCACCCCGTAATTTATGTTGCAAGCTCCGTGAGGCGAACATTGGGGTTTGTCACCTTTTTGCGCCTCCCGCTCCCTAGCTGTGGGGTTTGTTTCTTATTCGACACACTCCCCCGTAACCCCTCGTTTCTTATGAAGTAGGGCAGCGGTCGCTGCTGTGTTTCTTATTGGGACATTTCTTATTGTGTGACCCAGATTGAGTTATGTTTCCCTATTTTCTTATTTTTGGTGAAAAAGTGAGCCTATGTTACACAGTTTCGGACTGGGGCTCCAAACTTGCTGAGATAAGGAAACATATTTTTGAGATAAGAAAGTTTCCTGGAAACCTCCTGCAGGCGAATATTTTCCGATTTAAGGCGGCTTCATGTGATTGGCTGTGGGACGACAGTCACCCAACGAACTTCCCCTGTTCGCAGGTACTGCTGTTGTTTTTTGTGGTGCGCTGCGTGACAGCTGCACCCTGATCACAACGCTCCCACTGCTGTCGAGTGTGCGTGCATGCATGCATGCGTGTGCGTGTCTGTGTTGCCCCCTCAACCCCGGCACACGAACTCGCACCAGCACAGCGACAGGAAGTACACATACTGGCCGCCAGCCCTATACGAAGTGCTCTGTATCGCATTTCAAGCGTTGGGGAGAGGGTGTTTTTTTGGGGGCGGGAGCCCATCGAAGTCAAACACGCTCTCTCTAGTAGAAGCAGAGAATACTCTTGCGGCGCGTCACCAGAAGGCAACTGCGTGCTCTTCCTCCTCTCTGCCCTTTGCGGGCGGTGCTGCCACCTCCACTACGTCGTCAGTTGCCGCGGTTCGTTCCGGCGCTCTTCTTCCCCCAAGCCTCAACCTGTGTTTGACGGGCGCGTGTTGCTGACCTAAAGCCGCGCAACAACCAACCCTTTTCTGGCCGTGCAGCCTCCC